TAGCCCCTCTATTCATCACCCTCCACTGCTGATTGCAACGCCAGAAATCAGTTCTTACTTGTCTCTTTCCATATATTCTCAGGGAAAATAGTCTAAGATGGATAATTTGGAAATGTAAATTCAATACAGTGTTAACCTCTCTAAGATGTCTTTGCATTTTAAAAGTAAAAGCTTTGTTTCTTTTTAAGGAGTTGGATATAACTACAAGCAGAAGAGTGAAATATGTGTGTGTGTGCACAGGGGAGTGTGTGGAGGGGGAGAAGGAATGCAGATGGACTACTTCCCCAAGCCTACATAGATCTTAGGGACGGCCAACTTATCCCAGACTCAGAACACTCAAATATGAATGAGTGATAATGTACATGTATATTTATTGACAACGAATTTGGTGCCCCTTTGCTGTTTTTCTCCTTGGTGTTAATCATTGTTTAACATATTACATATGCCTTCTCTATTTATCTACTTTATTGTCTCTATCCCTGCTAGGATATACTACCATTGCCTAGACCAGTGTCTAGTGCATAGTAGAAAGTCTATTTAAACTTTTGAATAAATTATTTCTATGAATACTACAATTTTCCATATGCTTTTATCAAATCTATGTGTTGTAATTATATTTCCCTACTATGTGCTCATCTTTTCATTATTTCTATGGTGTTTTTGGTAAATAGAAGTTCTTAATTTTGATATACAGTTGGCTCTTTTTTTTGAAGTATGGTTGATTTACAATGTTGTGTTACTTTCTATTGTATAACATGGTGATTCAGTTATACATTTATGTATATGCCATTTTTCATATTTTTTCATTATAGGTTATTACAAAATATTGAATATAGTTCCCTGTGCTATACAGTAAATCCTTGTTGTTTATCTTAGTACAAACACTTATTATCTCTAGTCTTTTTGATAATAGCCTTTCCAACAGGTATGAGTTGATGTCTCATTGTGATTTTGATTTGCATTTCCCTGATGATTTGTGATGTTGAGCACTTTTCCACATACCTGTTGGCTATTTGTATGTTTTATTCAGAAAGATACCTATTCAGGTTCTCTGCCCATTTTAAAATCAGATTATTTGTTTTCTTCCTGTTGAGTTGTATGGGTTTCATATATATTTTGAATACTAACCCCTTATCAGATACATGATTTGCAAATACATTCTCCCATTTGGTAGGTTGCCTTTTCATTTTGCTGATGGTTCCTTTGCTGTGCAGAAACTTTTTGGTTTGATTAGTCCCACCTGTTCATTTTTGCTTGTGTTGCTCTTGCTTTGGGTGTCGCATCAAAAAAATCATTGCCAAGACCAATGTCAAGGAGACTTTTCCCTGTTTTCTTCCAGGAGTTGTATGGCTTCAGGTCTTATAGTTAAATCTTTAATGCATTATGAGTTCATTCATTTTTGTGAGTGGTGTAAGATAGGAGTCCAATTTCATTTGTTTTTTGCATGTGAATATACAGTTTTCTTAATACCACTTATTGAAGACATTATCTTTTCCCCATTGAGTAGTCTTGGATCCCTTATGAAATGTTGGTTGACCAAACATGTGTGGGTTTATTTCTGAGCTGACAATTCTGTCCCATTGGTCTATGTGTCTGTTTTTATGCCAGTACCATACTCTTTTTATTAATATACCTTGTAATATAGTTTGAAATCAGGAAGTGTGATTTTTCTTTCTTTCTCAGGATTGCTTTGGCTATTCAGGGTCTTTTGGGGTTCCATGTGAATTTTAGGATTTTTTTCTATTTTTGTGAAAAATGCCATTGTAATTTTGATAGAGATAGCATTGAGTCTATACATGATTTTGGGTTGTTTGGACATTTTAACAATATTAATTCTTCCATTCCATTAACCCAAGGTATCTTTCCATTTATTTGTGTTTTCTCCAATTTCTTTTAGCAGTGTCATAATTTTCAGTGTGCACATCTTTCACTTCCTTTGTTAAATTTATTCCTAAGTATTTCATTGTTTTGATGCTATTGTAAATAAGATTTTCTTTATGTCTTTTCCAGATAGTTCATTTTTTTTGTTTTGTTTTTTATATATACAATATATTTAATGAAGAAAATACACATTATTAGAATGCTGTGCACAGTGTGACCCCACTTATTAAAAACAGTGATTTGTCTTTGGGGATAAATAAATTTCTAACAGTGATTATCTCTAGATAGTTCATTGTTAAGGTAGAATTGCAACTGATTATTGATGTCTTCTTAAATGACTTCTGTGATATCTATGTCTTCTTGAATCTCTTTTGATAAGATCTGCTTTTATCTGGTATTTATCAATCTTGTTATAAAGTTATTTACTAAATGATATTTATTATCTTTTAAATGTCTGAAGCATCTGTAGTGATAGTCACCTTTTTAGTCCTGATATTTGTTAATAGCACCTTCTCTCTTAATTTCTGAATCATTTTCACCACAGTTTGTAATTTAATAGTTTTTTTTTTTTGAGAAAATTGACTTTGGCTTTTTTGGATTCTTTCTCTTGTATGTTTATTTTCAATATCATGAATTTCTGCTCTTCATTCTACTCTGGCTTTCTTCTTTCTTTGGGTTTATTTTGATTTTTTAAAAACTTCTTCAGATGTATGCTTAGCTCATTATCAGCCTGTTTTCTTTTCTGATATTTGAATACAAGAGAACAAATGTCCCTCTTGTGTTGCTTTGGCTATCCAACAATTTTTATTATATAGTATTTTTTATTATCATTTAGTTCAAAGTATTTTCTCATTTCCACTATGATTTCCTTTAAAATAATATTTAGAAACATATTTTTTAAATTTCCGAACATCTGGGGATTTTCTAGTTCTCTTCATTTTCATTTCTGGCTGAGTTGCAGTGTGGTCAGAGAATATACATTGTAGGATTTCAATCCTTTAAAATTTGAGGGGTCAGCCATCAACCCACACACTTCCCTGTGCCCTTAGAAATGAATGCGTATCAGCAGAGGTTGATGCTGTTTTCTACATGCCCAGCCAAGCGTGTTAGTCATATGTTCCTTTTCATATCAAATGTTCTTTTTCTTTACTAAACTCTTGTCTCTTTGTTAAACAGGTAACTAAAAGCAGTGTACCTAAATGCTCCTCATATAATCATGATTTTATTAATTTTTATAGGTATATCAATTTTTGTTTCATGAATTTTGGCATGATATTATCCACTTCATATAAATTTGAAAAAGCAATATTTCTGGTGTATTCTGATCTCATGCTCTGGTAATGCTTGTTTGTTTTGAAACCCAGTCTTTGTAATATTAATTTCTTACACAAAGCTTTTTTTGTGGGGAGGAAGAGTTGAAGTTTTTAGATGGTATATATTTTTTAATCCTTTTACTCTTTTTTTTTTACTTTTTTTATTGATTCATGATCATTTTACAGTGTTGTGTCAAATTCCAGTGTTCAGCACAATTTTTCAGTCATTCATGGACATATACACACTCATTGTCACATTTTTTTCTCTGTGATTTATCATAACATTTTGTGTATATTTCCCTGTGCTATACAGTGTAATCTTGTTTATCTATTCTACATTGCC